CTGAAACGGCTTTCAGTTCGCGCCAGTCTCCAGCCTGGGTTCCCGTGCCATGGCATTCGACGTAGGCTGTCTGATCAAAATCAAGTCCCACTGATGTGTACAAGGACCGGATGTTATCGACTTGTGCCTCTTTGCTGGGAAGAGTGATACCTACATTCAATGAGTTTGAGATTGCCTTTTTGGTAGTGCGGATTGCAATGATGTATACTCACCGGGGGTGCGGCCGTCCTGGTTCACTCTTGTACCACGGATTACGGCCCTGATGTTATCGTTGTCACGCAAGGCATCAGACAGTCGCTTGAGGACAACAACTCCGACACCTTCCCCACGCCCATATCCGTTGGCTCGGCCGTCGAATGTGAAGCATTTACCGTCAGGACTGAGAAAATTGAGGGCTGTCATTGGCATGATGGTGTTCGGGGTCAGGATCAGTCCCGCACCAGCCGCAAGGGCCTATGTAGCATTGATGAGCAAGTAGAATGAAACAAGCGTTGAAGAGTCTTACCAAAGAACACTCTCCATTACGGAGACTCTTTGCAGCAAGGTGAATGGCTACCAGACTACCACTGCATCCCGTGTCGATGGTCATGCTCGGGCCATGGAAGTTGAAGGCATAAGAAATCCGGTTAGCCATGATGGCAATTCCATTGCCTGTAGCCGCGTATTGTGGTTGCCAATCTGGATCTCGAAGGCATATTTGCTCGTAGTCTGAAGAATATTAGAGGTGTTCATTGACAGAATGCCGGCATACTAGTTACCTTTTACGAATGATCCGACATAAACCGCAGTGTCACTTCCCTCAACATCCTCCTTTCTGATGCCAGCTGTACGATATATTAGCCTCCACCTATAAGTTTCTTCCATACTATGAGTGCTATGGCATACCACTTTCCAGGGCTTCATAAGAAACCTCGAGTAAGAGTCTTTGTTGTGGGTCAATAGCTCTGGCGTCGTCAACAGAGACAGAGAAGAACTCAACCAAGAGTATTAGACATGATTTCGATTGCTAAATTCTAGGCAGACATATACTTACTGGTGCGTCAAATGTAGAGACGTCATTTTTCAGAAAATGAGCACCTTTGAAAGAAATCTAGAAAGGACCATCAGTCAGCTCACGACCATCAATAAACTGCATCATGGGAAGCAATACACTGCCCTGGCGATCTCCACCAGGGTGGAAATAACCTTCAATGTTGAGTCGATCCTTTGGGAATTCTGACCATTGAGATTCGCCACCTTCGAGCACTCTCCACAACCCCTCTGGCGAGTCTGCATCTCCAGGGAAGCGTAAGCCGACGCCTATCACCGCAATATCGTCCTCCATCGTGTCAGTGTTTATATATGAGGCGAAGTAAATGACTTTGTCACATGTGCTGTTATTCAGTCAGGCAAAGGAAGCTAGTCAAAGGGTGAATGATAGAAGCGAAATCCAGAAAGGGGTAGAGCTCACTTCTACTGGATATGCTTATTGTCAGCCTGGAGCAGCCTAGATAGGGTTCTCTCTATTTCCCTGACCAATAATGAAGAGCTTATGGGATAGAACCGGCTCCCAGTGTTCTTCAAATGCCTTATATATCGATATGGGGCGGTGCCAACACTCTTTGGCAGGGCGGCTTGGTCACCTGGGCTCACCCAAGGGGCCAAATTCGGCAGATGCTGACAGCAATACAATAGAAGGAAGGCCAAGATTATACCAATACGGGAAGCCTAAAGGAGATAGTGGCGACCGAGGTAGGCGCCATATTTCTACGCTCTCCATGGTGCCCGATCTTACCTCTCAGGGCAGGATGGTGCTGAGGGTGTATCTACGCAGTTTCCCACGATCCAGTCAGATCGTTCGGCCCTGCATAATCTTGTATCCAGGGTGTACAAGCGTGAGATTAAGTCCGCGAATAGCTTACGGGCAAGCAAACGGTGATTGTTTGCTTGTCTTGAAGTTACGGGATGCTCCGGACCATGGGAAAAACGGATCCGTACGGTGTTGTGCTTCAATGACATGAAACAGAAAGTTGGCTGGGCGTCTGCGCAGGTAGCCTGGAAAAATCCCACGTTTTCCGGCCCGAAATAAAGTGAGTTTATTGATGGCAAGCAGGGTGCACCGCCCCAGCCGTGCAGTTGTCTATTTATTACTACTGCGGCTGGGATCCATCCAACTCCATTCCTGGGCTGTGAGTGGCTCGGCGTCAGCGAGAGGTGCCGTGAAGCTGGGAGCTATTGAATATAGGATGCGTGAACTTCAGCTTCTGATGGGATGGGACGCTGAATATGTCATCTATGGAGAAACCTGGGGTGTCGAGCTGGCCACAGATTCGTTGGGTGCCAAGATAGGAATCAATATGGCCCATCATCTTACTACATCTTGCAGATGATGATGCTGCTGACCCTTTCAGCCCGAAAAAGACTAATCTATCCCAGAGGATTGCCGGATTGAGATCAATACATGCGAACTTAGTCCTAATTGATCACGGTAAATACTCGTCATCGAGAGTGCCCTGATTCAGCCTTCCCCTCATCAATGAGATCCATCGCCTTGACCTAGGAGCCATGAGATCCATTTCCTCGCTTTGAACACACTACTTTGATAGATTCACGCGGTCTTTTTGAAGCGAGGCCGAAACGAGTAAATGTTCCGAGCGTGGGCCATGAAGAAGAGCCGCACTGAAGTGGCATCTCTTCGCGGTAGTCTCGCTCGATGAGACCCACCAAGAGTATCTTCCCTCTCATTGAGGCTCAAGAGCCCCTACCTAAGGCTGATTAAGTTGGCGGGGCATAGGTTTATCCATGGGAGGACTTGAAGATGGTGGGCGCTTCACTCTGATGTGTCACTTGGCATACGATGACATAATGTTGGGATGGCCGGAGAGCACAATTTGTGGCCCCTCGCAAGCCACCACGTAATAAGGAATGAGATATCCAGTTCTTCAAGTTGCTGATTAGAAATAGAGAGGTTCGATCGTTGGTTGCCTAACCGCTCGCAACAAGTATCCAGGTTCCAAGCTTGGGCTATAGAATGGGACTCATATTCCACATATTCCACACAGCAGTATCTATTCAAAGAGAATCCCACCCCCTCCATCATTGTTACACAGCAGAACGAGCGTAATAGTGTTGGTTGAGTGCACGTTTATTTGGTCAAACACCTTGTCACAGCTGAATATGAGAAGGGCCAGATCTTTTCGTCTTCCAGTTTGCTTTCTTGGCCTGCCTTCTCATACGGAAGGAGATTTCTGCGGCTAGAACAACACTATCTCCGATTCCACATGTTTGCTCATCATGGTATATAAAGATTCAGATAGTTTCCTTACGATCTCGTTGTCAAATCGACAATATCCTGTCCACCTGTTTTCACTAGTCAGCCAAAGGTGTTGTACTTCAAAGCTGTTTCAGAACGAAACAATTGTTTGGATGAAAAGAAGAAAAGAATTGATAAAAAATCTATCAATTAGTCCAAAATTCCAATACCCGATCTGCATTTTACTCACGGAGCTTCTTCAGCCGGTCACCTCCAGTGGGACATTGCCATTGATGCTTAATGGAGGTGGCATCTCCAAGACCCTGTGTTCAAAGAAAATTCATCCCTAAGCTATAAATCGAGCATGTTGAAGGCTGCGAATGGACACTCCGATGCATATACCACATCGTCGGGGAGGCAAAAATTGCCGGGTTGGATCTGGTCATTCGACCAACTGCAACACCAACCTCGAATGCAAGCAATCATCTCGGTGGCTCACGAATGAAGTTGAACTGAGTTGAGATTGCGCGTTTGCACCACGGTATGAGTCTGACACAAGACAACGGCATCGCGCATGTGCAACCAGGGGGAGTGTGCAAGCTTTGGTGCAAGTTGCTCAGTGCGACATTCGAGGGATCTTGTCCCAGGATGAAACTCACAAACAGACATTGACAGGAGGGCCGATCTGTATTATCTTGATAGCCCGTCCCCCGTAGTGGCACAGCGCCCAGGGCAGTTGGCGCCACCGTTTGTCGCACTCCCCGGGAAGCTCTCTTCTTGATGCTAAGACCGAAGACGGCCATGAGCCCCTAGGCGAGGGTGAGCAAAGCGACATAATCTATGAGGATACACGGCAATGGCAGCACCGCTAACCATGGAGGTCAGAGATGTCTTAGCTGCGTACTTATTCAATGAGGCTCCCTCGCCCACCCGGTCGCATTGCACTGCATGTTCCGGCTGCCTGGCAATCACGCTGTCTGTCTTGTCTGCCCCGACTGACTGAGGCTTTGCTGGTTCGCTCGTCTCGCCTATCTGTGTTGGTCGCTTCTCTCGCCAACTTGTCTCGGCAGCCCCGTGTCTGGGAGGAAGGTGCTCTCGGTACGCGCCTGCCTGCCGCTTGGCCTCCTCGATCACTGCCTGCCTCAAGGTGACTTGACCTCGCTGCTCCTTCCAAACCAGGCCCTTCCTTCCTTCCCTCTCTCACCGCAAAACCACCGATCGCACGAGCAGCTGATCTTTATCTTTTCTGTTGCGAATGAAAGATCCGGCTTTCTTTTTCCAATCCTCATTCCTTTCTTTCTTTATCTAGACCCTACCTACTTCTTCGGTGACCGGCATCGACCTGCGAACTTACTCCCTCGCCTGCCTACCGAACACATTATTCGCCGAGCTACTCACCTCAAGGCGGCCACAGTCCTTCCTCTTACACTCCTTCTGGTCTCCCTGACGCCCAAGGCATCCCGGAGAACTATCCACGCTACAGATTTGTCTGAACTCTCGTCTCAAGTCCACATCTTCCCCGAGGCAAGTACTTAGGAAGTTGTCGGAGAGCTTTGACGACTATAGTTTCTTTCTCCATTTCCGGCAGCAGATCTAAAAGTTAAGCCTACTATTCGGCCTCCATAGTTCCTCCTCTATACCTCCATAGCTCGCGGGTTTCAACTTCGACCTTAAACCCCAGACTTGCCCTCGAGACGCTCAAGCACACCGACCTGGTCAGAGAAACACCAATCCAAACCCATCTCTTTCCAATCAGTTTCGAATAATCATGGCGGACGAAGAAGGTCGCTTGCCTTTGTCATATCCAAACCCTTCGCTGGGTCAGATGGCAACGCCTGCAGGGGGCTCAGAAAGCTCTCACACCACCAAAACAACTCGACTGGGCCCTAGGCACCCAGTTCAAGGCGCCCGCCAGGTGGTTCTAGTCATCTCGTATTAAGTCCCTGTCCTTCGTAATTGAGTCTTCTTTGTCTAAATTTGTGCAGACTTCTCCTGGGCCTCCTTTTCTCAACACTCGACACCTCAATCATTGCTACCTCTCTCATCACAATATCGCATGAGATGCAGGACTTTTCAAATGCCCCGTGGATCGTTCTTGCCTATCTTCTGACCTATATGGGTAAGATTCTTCTATTTACCTACCATTGATGTTGCCGAAGCTATGTTAGGCGGCGATGTGGCTAATAGTATATTCAGGTTTTGCGGTCTGGCAGTCCAAACTCAGCGATATCTACGGTCGACGAAATATGATAGTGATATCCTGGGTTATTTTCACTGGTTTCTCTTTGGGATGCGCAACGGCCAAAGACATGATATCCTTGTGTGTATAAGAGCAACCACTCAAGAAGCTTCTTATCTGACTATTCACAGGATAGTCTGTCGAGCTTTTCAAGGCGTGGGCGCTTCAGGCTTGTATAGCTTGGCACAAATTGGCCTGGTTGAGGTCGGTCCCGTGCATCGTCCCAGTCTGGTCGGGGCAATGATCGGTGCAACTCTCGCTGTTGCTTTCGTTCTCGGCCCCATCATCGGGGGCGCTGTTTCCCATTCCTCAGATTGGAGATGGCTCTTCAACATGAAGTAAGCTCAACTTGACATGGGATCCAGTTCTCAATCTGATTTCTTGTAGTATTCCATTCGGTCTGGTGGCTATTCTCGCAATTAGCAATCTATGGCCCTCAGAGCAAGTTTCAAGCATTTTCTCTTGGGATGCCTTTTCCAAAATTGACTTCCTTGGAGGAGGCACCCTGCTCCTTGGTTCTGGCCTCTTGGTTTTTGCCATTCAGCAAGCAGGCTCTCAAACATTTGCTTGGGGAAGTCCTGCTATTATTTCTACTTTGGTCATTTCTGGATTGAGTTGGATTGGGTTTGTAATCTGGGAAATCCGCCTTCAACTGGCACCTTCCCACCGGATCGAGCCTATTTTCCCGATAAAGCTAATGCTCCATCGAGTATACTCGGCTGGCCTCTTGTGAGAAACTAACAGTTCTTTTGCTGCTTTGGCCCAAGTTAACGGCAATATAGGGTAACTTTACTTACAGGATTTCCTTATATCGCCCTGTGTATCCTAATCCCAGAGCGTTTTCAAATAATCAACGGTGAAAACGTCCTCATGGCCGGAGTCCACATTCTGCCCCTTCTTGGTGCATGTGCGGCAGGATCTTTCCTAGGCGGCGCGATATCGAGTACAAGAAACAACACGTCCCCTACACTAGTTCTTGCATCTTGTCTTCAACTTCTTGGAACTGGACTTATGATGCTCGTCTCGTCTCCTGACTTCAGCCCTGAATCTCAGTATGCCTTCCAAGCTATTTTTGGACTCGGGGTAGGCCTCTCATTCTCGGCCGCAACAATTATGACCAACATCATGGCCTCAGAGGATCATGAAAGGGCCTCGGCTCAAGGCGCAGTCGCACAAGCCCGGGTTCTAGGTGGCTGTATTGGTCTTTCTGTTTCTACCGTGATATTTAATGGATATGCCAACCGTCACTTAAGTCACTTGTCAGAGAAGCAGCTACAAGCCCTTCATCGATCACCACTTACCGGGCTCCAAATTCTGGATGAAAGCGACCGAGAGCTGACCAGAAAAGCCTACGGGGAAGCCTTCTCTGAACAAATCAAGATGATGATGCTAATCTGTGCCGCGATGGTCGTCGTTTCCCTATTCACCTTGGAACGAAACCCCGCGCCTCTGGAGCGACTTACTACCTACACCAAAGACCACGACCAGTCACCCAGAGGGAGCGACTCAGTCACGGAGCTGAATGATCTGCCCAGTGTCCGCCAGTCGATTTAAGCATGAGGCCATGGTCACTTCTACTCCAATGGCCACGTTTCTCTATTCTCTCCCAATCTCCCTTGATCGAGTCACTTTGGGAGCCTCAAGACTGAGGAGTTCTGTGATTTGTGTTTTATGATGGTTTTTATTTTCTCCCAATCTGGATCGTGCTCATCTTCTTTTCCCCTGCTCTGCCTTATTATTGAAGGAGGATAAGTAAGTGGTTGGTCGGTCGGGCTTACGCGGTTTGTTCTTCACACCAGATTTCAGATGATAGTGAATTTGATCAAAGCCAAATTATTACTGGGGGGGATTTTGAGCCCCGAAAAATAATGTGATACGATGTCTCGAACTCTGGGTATTCGCCATATATCAGACCCAGGGTCACACGCCCTTGGGGCTACGGCAAACAAGTCTCACTGGGATAGAAACCAATGTTTCCTTCCGTAGCTTTCGTTCCTATCTTAATAGTATAGAAATATAGTTGTCTTTTCACACGTCTTCCAAGAAAGATGGTCAGTGCCTCATCTCGTGCGTCACTGAAGTCTCACAGTGATAAGGTGGCAAGGGTACGCAGACCAGACGATTGGACAAGCACATACCGGCCAAGACAAGTCTTTGAATCGTCTACTCATTTAATTCCTCAGTGGTCACTCTCGTTTCTGCCAAGGGTGGCAACAATATTTTGCAAATGACCAGCCTGCTTAACGTTACACGGAAGTGTTGCCAGAGACAATTTTCGGTTCGAGATCGGTCCTCATGCTCCATATTTTAAGAGACCAAGCGAAAGGCGTACGTAGCGTTGGTACAACTTGAAGTTGTTATGGGATACCGAGCTATCAGAAGAATCAGGTTTTCTTGGAATCAGCAATGTTTCCTTCGCGCGATATGACGTGGGCTCGGTATGAGGCAGCTCGGGCCGAGCCATGGTGGCAAGAAAGCGTTACCATTCACAGGTCATCGTATGCAGAGATTCTTACTCTCAACCGAACCGAATTTCTCATCTTCACTTGCTAGAATACGGGTTGATAAGTCTATAAATAAGCGTTTTTTTTTATATTCTTGTTCTTGGCTGTTTCTCTCTATGAACGGACCTCACCAAAGTGGAAAACTAAGGTTTCGGGCCAAGTCTCTGAACTCTTCGACGCTGCTCTCCTTCCACCCTTTCATGAGCTCCTGTGCCTCCTCGTCTTCCTGCAGCGCATGAGAGTTCACAGAAGGGTTGAGCACCGCACATGCCATTTGTACCCGCAGACGTTCCAGCAGGGTCGGGTTCCTAGGATCAGGGAATGTGTCCAGTGATCCGAGGAGCCGAGCGCCAGAGACATAGACGTGTGCGAGGTTGGTGCAAGTTTTCCTCTCTAGAAGTAAGTAGTCCTGATGATACGGCTTCCCGGACTCTATAATAGAGGATAATATGGCCACGACTCGGTCGATGAAGAGAGGGAGTGTTTCCAGTGGGCTGTCGCGGCCGTAGCTGATACTGCGTAGATGGAGGGGGAAGCTCGGGGGCAGGACTTCAGGCTGCCGGGATGGATTTGACTGCCATTCCGGTGTGCGAAGCGAGTCGACGTACTCAGTGAGGTAGCTGAGCACTTTTCCTCCCCCCTTTTCCGTGGCAATCCCACAAGTTTGGTGGTTTGGTTCGATAGGGAGAGAGTTGACGATGGAATCAAATGAACTGAGATCGGCCTTTGCGATGTAGGCTTTAGATATGCCAATCAAGTACTCCTCCAAGTCCGCAAGGGTCGCCACCGGGATATCGGTCATTAGATCGTCGCGGCTGTCAAAAAAATCTAGAGCCGATACAGCCCATGTTCGAGTCTCATCGAGAAAGTGTTTCGGCGTTTCTGTGAGCTCGAGCCATCGAACGAAGGAGTTAGAAAGGGAATAATTAGGAGTTTTCTTGAGAGCTTCGTTGATGGCCACGATATCCTGCGGCAAGTGTAGGCAGAAAAGATGGTGGCGAGCCACCGCCTGGAATAAGTCTTGGGGAACCTTGGTAAGACTTGAGCAGTCAAACGTATTCGAAATGGCCCAGGGAAATTTAGGTATAGAGCAAAGAATATCCAGGCTCTCCGAGGTCAGGGTCAATCCGTTCCTTTTTAGGAAGAGTCTGATCCAGCGAGCGTTCTCCGTAACAGATAGACGCTGGGCCTCGTATGCCAAATCGCCTATTTCCTCAAATGTGTGTGGATGTCGGTTGCCTTGCAAGAGGTCTACGACCGGGGTTTCTTCCGACCCCACACTGACCTCGGGCAGTTTAGCATCACTATTCTCAATGGCTTGCCAGTCCTCTTCTGTCAAAGGCTTCAGTCGCTCATTGAGAGATGCAGCCATGGGAACGGCGTAATTGCGAAGAACAGCGAGTGCTTCCGGCGTTGGGTCCTCTTTGTAAACCTCGAGGAGGCTTGAGAGGGCTTTAACTCGGACATCAACGTGATTGGCGTGACGAAGCAGCTTCTTTGCAATAATGTCAAAGCTGAAGGATGGTCCGACATATTCAGTGTTTCCAAGTAGCTCCAAGATCATCTTGATCGTGGTGATCTTGAGAATTGGCTTGTTCTTCGATTTATAACTCAACCTCTCCGCGAAGGAGGTACAAAGCGAAGAAAAGAAGTCCTCGGTGGCTTGATGGTCCAAGGATGCCAGTGTGCCCTTGTTCAGGACAGCTCTGTGCCAGGAGCTCGCATTGGGGAAGTCCAAGACAAAGCGAGAGATGAGAGGAACGGCAAGCGAAGGTTCATTGCTGCGTGACAGGAGCTTGACGACTTTAGTGAATACTTCGTAAGGGGCCTGTGCCACACTCTTCTCGGATCCAATTCGCTCAAGAATAGAGGACGCAAGCGTTTCCAAGAGCTGTGGAGGGATATGCTTGTTCAGGCGTATCAGAATGTCCAAGGCTCCATCGTGGCTTTTCCCTGTACGCTCAAGGAAATCTTCTTCCAGATAGACTGCTGGGAAACGCCAAGCAGACGCGTTCGGGAATGGCTTCTTAAGGAGCACAGACTCTAAACCGTAGGTGCTGTTGAGTGAAAGAACAGCTGCCGCGACGAAAGCATCAACATACGAATGAGCAAGAGATGACCTTCTTGATGGCAGCAACTGCCAGAATTCTTTGGGTGGCTCGGAGGCCGGGACGATTGGTATCTCGTAGTCCTCGGCGAGGATATTGTCACTTCTCCACTCAGTGTCTCGGTGGCGTTTTGGAGGTTGGAGCATACGATCCAAGCAGGTGACCTCGCTGAGGACTCGTTTTTTGGAGACTTTACGCGAGAGACCATGCAGCATAGGGTCGGGATCCCATTCTTCGGGCTGTCCCGGGACATCAGGCTGCTGGGGGAGCTCTGCAGGTAGCCTGTCATTCATAGACTGGTCAATTCCAAGCAGGGACGTTTCTATTCCAGCTTCCTCGAAAACGGGCTTCCAGAAGCGCTCAGCCTCCTCCCGTGTCATCCTGTCTCTGCTCAGCTCATCCAAGGCGTAGTTCCAGGCACGTCGAACGCGGTCCTCGCGATTGCGAGTCCTTTTTCCCTGATAAGTCCATAAGCCAAGAGCATTGGTCCAGTCCTCGAGGAACCCGCTTATTGCGAGTTGAGTTTCTTCGTCTTCTGGGAAGGGAGCGAGCAAGAACTTGGGATCGCAGAAGATGACGGCTTCAGCGCGCTGCTCCACATATGGTACAATCAATTGATCCCATTCGGAACTTTCACCTGCCAAGGACTCCAAGGTGAGTCCGCGTGGCCAGGGCTTTGGCAGAGTAAATACCGCTGGGTTCTGCTCAACTCGCGCCTTGAGCCACATGTCGTCTCGTGCCTTGGCTACGGCGTCCAAGAATCGCAATGCAGGTTGCCTTGTTGCCCAAAGTGTTGAGTAAGGAACATAGATGTCGGTAGACCGCTGGCCTGGGTATAGACATTCATTTTCTGCCTTCAGAACGTGTGATTCGGCAGCAATGATCAAGTCCAGGGTTGGCTTAAGCACGGCATCATAGACCTCATCATCAGACAAATTTAGTCTGTCTTGAAGCCCGTCGATGCGTGCAAGGCGGTCTGAAGCGGCTATTGTTACCATCGCTGTTGGCCGATGCCAAATCTGAGGTTCAAATGAAGGCTCTTGCACGGCTAAACTCGCTGTTTCAAGAAAGGACAAGAGGAACTCATTAGCCTGGCAAATCGCGGCCAACACATCCTTGGTGTTTGCGTGAGAGTTGCCAAGTGCTGCGATCAAATCACGAGTTTGGTTTGCACCACACCATGTATGATTGAATATCTGCCTCGCGGCAGGGCTATCTTTGACAAATCGCCTACACCACACCAGTGTCTCCGTCATAAGCTTAACATCACCAAGGGCGACGGAAAGGGCCATAGCAGATTGAGCATAGAAGCCTCGTTTTGCAGAGTCCTGTCCTCTCATCGCTTCACGCCTCCGTCGTTCAAGCTCTTCAATCCTCAAATTTTCAAGGACAGCTGATGGGTCGGTGGGTAGGACTATATCATTGCCTTGCGCTTGACGAATCAATAACGCTCGGATAATATGGACATCGGGGATATTTAGCTCTGGATCGAGGTGATATGACATCAAAGAACCCCGGTTCGAACCGTGTCCATGGATAAATTGTAGGTCCGGATTGGCTTCCAACCATCGCTCAAAAAGGGTCAATGCTTCAACCCCGGGGAGATTCTCGAGGAGAGCGGTAGGTAGTTTGACATTCGACAGCATGGCACTTTCTGTGTGAGAAGGCGGCCCCAGATCAAATTGATAAGAAGCTCCGTGTTTGAAGAACAGGCGGGCAAGAGGATATCTCATGGACGGTGATACCGAAGATGTCAACTCCACAAGCAAGTCGGGCGTGCATCTGTTCTTGTGAATGAAGCCAATCAAAGTAGCCAGATGATCATCCCCATAGCCATTGTTTGAATCATGCCTCCACGCCATGAGGGCAGGGGAGATCAGGCCAGCTGGTCTATGCCACATCGCCTTGCATGGAAGTATTTGTGCCCTCAGAGAGTCATGTTTTCTCAAACATTCGTTGATCAAAGTCCAGAATTGAGCCAGGTGCTGTTTTAGCTTTGAGGCTCGACGAGCGAATGGAGCAACGAACGTTAAGAATTCATTTGAAGGAAGCCCACGCAGTGAATCCAACTCAGAGAGCTTCTGGACAACCGTAAGCAGAAAATCGAAATCTCGGTCACAGAATGGCTTGAGCGGCTTAAGGTCCAATCTCTCGTTGTCCGAAAATACCTTTTCGAAGGTTGTCTGTCTGAAAACATCCCAGTGTGCCTCTCGTAGGCCCCGGATAACAGCACCTGTCGAGTCCTCAACCTCACGGTGCTCGATCTTGATAGCCCATTCCTGGGCCACCGCGGGCGTACAGGCGGGAGCTATACGTGCATAGACGGAGCGGAGTGGTCTTTGATCAGGATTGCTGTCTTTCGAACAGAGCAGCTGGAGGAGCTCAGACATGTGCGCCTGCCGCTCAGCGCGGAGGGGCGAATTATCAGGAGCGGAATTCGTGGTCTTCTGTATTGCTGCGCAGAGGGCCCGGATATCCTTAAGGCTGAGCTCTGCCATAAGCCTCACCAGCCCTTGGGCTCCGCCAATCGAGTTCCATGTTTGCTTAAACGTTGCCTCGTTGCAGATATACTTGAACAAAGACTTGACGCCATACTGCCAGGCCAGACTGCCCCGGCATTTCTGGGTAACGTCTACGGCGACAATCGGCGACCGAGCGACTCCCAGCCAAATTTGGATGACGGAAGGCGAGACTGAACCTTCTTTGACGTGCGATATCAAAATGTCTGTCAGTTGTGATCGGCTGGTTTCGGGGTTCTCCGCCAACGCGGCCTTCAGAACAGCACTTTGTTCGGCGGGTGTACCAGCACACAGGCGCTCGATGTTGAATCCCACCGCCATGGCTTGTTCCGTGGCGATCCTTCTATCTCTGTGTGCAGAAACGAGAGACAATGGTCTCAGAATGCTTCCAGCGGTGTCTGGATAAGCAAGCCTCTGGTGCTTTAATGCCCCTTAGCGTTTCGCCCTTAGTTGTCGGTCAGCTCAATTGGTGGCACTGCGCCTCCTGCTGCCGATTGACTCACGGCCGACATCAGCACAGTGCTGCTGCTGCACGACAGCACGTCAGCAGCCATCTCGGATCCCTCTTGGGTTACGATCGTCTACAACCGACACGTGGAAAATCTACTACACACCCGGGAGGCAAAGCATACCAGCGAGGAACGAATGCTTCACCAAACATCAAATTGGTAGGGGCCAACTGGAAAACGAATGCGGGATCTAGGGTAGGGGCTACTGGAGGCCGCGTTCGGGCTTTTGCTCATAGGAGGGAGCTCCCCATAAACATGCAGCGCACGAGGGCGTTCGTTATTGGCTGCGATCCCAGTTGTTTGCCTGGACAGGAGACACATCACAATTTCTCGCGTTTCCACCTGGCTTGACTGGCGGCTGCAAACAATCTCAGCCCTTCCCCTCTCTCGATTGTGTACATACATCGGTCAATCAGCCTCGAACTGGAAGTGCTGCCCTAACATTCCGGGCGCGGTTCCTCTGGAAGATCGCCCCCATGCATTATCGTGTATTGTAGCAAGGTGCTCACTCCGTGAAACCATTCTAGGAAGCGAGGCTCGCTGTTATTCGTGAATGGGAGCAGAGGCGCTTTCCCTCGTAGGGTAGGGATCTAGCCCGTCTGGCCCAAAGCTGCTCCGTGTCCCTCTGCATCGCCATTTTCCGCCCCGGATACATCCCAGGTTCCAGCCCGCGGCCGCCGACCCCCCTGCTACTGACCTTGCCATGCTTTTGCGCCTAGAGCCATGGCAGCAGGCTAGGAGATCGGAGGTCTCTGACAAGCAAAATGGAGCCCAGGAGGGCGCTAGACATGTTGTCAGCAAGCTCAACTTTCTGGCCGATGCTCCTTCATCGATCCTTGGTTTCCTCACGAGGGAGGGTTGCCCCCACTTTCTGTATTACTATGGAATGCATCTTGTCGTACAGAAGGTAATTAAATATCAATTTATACATAGATAATGTAAAGCATGTACATAATAATATGTATTATGGGTGTCCAAGGGTAGATTGCCATCGATTAAAACCTCCTCCTCGTCAAGTCCCCGCCCATTGTTGGCCAGGGATCTCGGCCTGGTGCCATGGGTTGTCAGTGTCTATCCTTTAGGTCATCTCGGGGCTGTCACATTAATAACTCTCAGGGACCGTGCCCATTCGTAGAACCCGGTCTGGATGTATGTAGACACAGGGGAGCTTGTGGGCCACTCATCGAGGAAGCACACTGCTCAGCTGCATAGTACAAGGGAGGGGGGAGGCGGAGGTGGAGGAGTTTTTTTCTCACTAACAGCAGCTTCAGCATCTTCAAGAGAGCTCAGAGCTGTGGTACCTGTTTGCTTAGCTGCAAAAGTTCGCCATGTAGAGTGTATCCAGCCCCAGTGGTAAGATAATTTCAGGATCTGTCATGAGGACAGCGAGCATATCTTTGATTCGATTGGTGTTTTCCTGCAGGCAGCTAGCAATGGCAGCCCATCAGGTCCCTTGAATTTCGATAATTGAATCACCTCTCTCCTCTCCACGGCTCAGGGCGAGCTAGCTTCCGCCGTCGCCTCGATGGCCACCTGACGCGTGACCACCCAGCCTACCTTAGCCATCCTACCCAATCTGGCCTGCTACAGCGTTAAGTGGCACACTGACATCATAAGGGGACGATTGCTTGGTCCATCCAAGTCGTCATTTTGCACACCAAACAGCCCTCAGGGACTCTTCGATTCTCGCGTCGGGGGCTGGAACCTTCCTAACCCCGAAGACCCTGCATCTGGATATTTGAATTATGTCGGTTATAGGGTAACAAAGCAATGCTTGCCTGTGTCTAGCGGGATGGGGAAGAAGATCTTGGATGGCCTGGAGAGATAGGCGGGTCATGGAGAAGCGATGGCGTGTCCGCAGTTGTCTGAATATGTGGCACAGTTCCAGGACCGTCATGGAGCAGATCCTGGCATGACCCATGCACACCGTCGAGTGTGCACTGTCGACGACGGCCTGTAACGCACTGTATGGGGCCCAGCGTCGAGGTAAGACATGACCGCGTCGTACGAGTTGGCCGAGCCTCAGTGGAAGCCTTGGGGTGATGAATGGTAGCAAGCAGCTCAGTCAATCTGGAGTCACGTATGTGTATCGATCTCCATCTCGTCTCGCCTGCCGCCGACGGGGGAGGCGAGGAATCGGCCAGTTTGCAGAGCTTTTTCGTAGCTCTGTTTTGAGGTTGGTATGCAGATGTAGAGCAAACCCTGTGACTTATGAGAGGGGTAAGGTCCCAATATTTCGGCGCCGACCTGCTGTACTATGGAGCAATTAAACTTGCTGCCGCCGCCGTTGGGGGGAGGCTAAAAAAGTCTGTCTACATGGCATGGAAGTCAAAGCTTGAGTGAGTAATATTCTCGTACATATTGTGAAAAGTGAAAACAGCTCTGCTGTTGACAAGTGTGCTATTATTAGTGGATGGATTCAATTGGCGAGATCAACGAAGCGGCACTTCCACTGTCTGACCCGCCTGTAACACAGGACCGTGGAAGCGAGGCGATAGTACCTCGGTAGAGCAGCATTTGGTACTGGCGTGACACACCGAGACGCTGCCCACGTCCGGTGTTACTCCCCTTGGAAGGCGCCACTCAATCAAAACATACATTTGGCATTGGCAAGAGACGACCTAGCAGAGCGACATGCAGGAGCTCGTATAAGAAGGAGGCAGGCTTGCAGTTCGGTTTTCGGGGTGTCGAGACAACCAAATCAAAGCGCGCCTTATCAGCGTTCCATTGACATGTTTGGTTCCCCAAACCAATAATACACACCTCCCGCTAGCTTCACACGAGCTTGACACAGCGGAGACGTGCTGGGTGCCTAGCGGATCCCATGGGGACCGATTCACACGGTGCGAACAAGAGCGAGTGGGCTCGTAGGTTCCTTTGATGGTCTTGTTCTCCCCTCCTCCGCCCCAGCCCAACCTCTCTCCCTTCCTCCTGCCCCCTTGGCCTTGGCGAGCCCTCGCTACGTTCGCTGCATGTACCGGTGGTCGCAGTCTGGCTCCCCTCTTGCTCCACCAGAAGCCGGTCGGGGTGGCTTTCCAACATTCCTCTGGCTCCACTCAGAGTGGGCGCCTATGCCGCCCTACCACAAATCCACGCGTCTCATTGGCTCCAAGGCCTGCTAGCGGCCTAACAAAGGTAAAACTGAAAGGTAAGCTGGACAATGTACCTGCTCTGTGCACGCAACCCCCCGAGGGGGGCCTCGTTCCGCCGCTGCACGCATGAGATTGGACCGAAATCTAGCTTTGAGAAGAACTTGGGGTGAATTCGTGATGGATAAGCGCGTGGAAGCGATCGAGCAAAGCTGCACATGTGAAAATCTGCGTATAAAAGGTTCATGCCCTACCTGTCTTCTGCGTTTGTATTGCACGTGCAAAAATACGCCCTTGATGAGGGCGAGCCAGGCAGGAGTTTACGTGTGCGGAATATTCGCCGAGTGTGGGCTGGAATAAGCGCACTGCTGGCTCCTTGGGCAGCCCGCCAGGTAGGTACCTCCAGGCAGGCACTTCCTGACCTCCTCGAGTACTTCAGCATGGGTGCAGCTTGCGGTACCCACTTGCCAATCATCCACCCTGCTCGCCCACACCTTTCTCTCTTTCGCCCTCAGGCGGTGCGCCCCTAAAAGTAAGGCCAATTTTTCTGTCGCAAAAAAGGGCACTTCCCTTCCCTCTCCGCTCGTCTCCAGATTCAGTATAGATCCATCGGCACCACGCTCAAAACAGTATCTCCACCACTTTTTGCCTTTTACAGCCTGTGTGATACCAGTCGATTGGATTAGCAACCATGGCCGACATCACGGATCAGCATGACCAGACTTCACCAAATGACCTTGCCGAGTCGCACTCGGTAGGCAATGGCAATGGCGGCGCTCAGGAGAGCCGCGGTATCAAGCGCGCGAGGCCGGCGCCCGGCGACGACGACGACGACGATGACGAGAAGGGAGGACGCGAGCGTCGCAAGATTGAGATCAAGTTTATCAGCGACAAGTCTCGGCGTCACATTACCTTTTCTAAACGCAAAGCTGGTATCATGAAGAAGGTCAGTCACGTCGACGAGACCGCGCTGGGCGTTTTTCCCGCACGAATCTGCGTTGTCCCGCGCGGCTTCACGGGAAAACAGAGCCCAGCGTTGGCGGGAGCCCGTCGCGTCACGAGCGCGACACAATGTGAGAATCACAGCTAATCCATTGTCTATAGGCATACGAACTGTCCGTGTTGACGGGAACTCAAGTCCTGTTACTCGTCGTCTCAGAGACCGGTCTTGTCTACACTTTCACAACTCCCAAGCTTCAGCCACTGGTTACCAAGGCTGAGGGCAAAAACCTGATCCAGGTACGTGACAACCTCTTTTAGAGCCCTTTTTCGGCCGCGTGGTATTCTTTCGCTTCCGATTGATTACACGCCTGGTCTTTGCGCGTCTTGTCCCGACGCTACCGGCCCTGCCAATATTTTCACCGTACTGACTGATTCTCAATAGGCGTGTCTGAACGCTCCCGAGCCGTCTGGAAACGAGAATGGTGTAGACGCGGCCGACCAGGTTGAGTCTCCCGAAGAGTCTGCGAGCAACCAACACCTTCCTCCACAGGGCAGTCGCCCTGGCATGCCCCAGAACCCTCATATGCCACCTGGGTATAACATGCCTCCAAACATCCCCATGGACCCTCAACAAGCCATGGCATACCAGAGTTACGTGCAGAGAAATCAGGGCTACGGCTCCGGCATGCCCCAGCCTGGCATGCCACCAAGCAGCCACCATCAATCATGATTATGAAAAATCATATTGAGCCGATCTGGCCGTCGATACCCGGCTTTCAACAGCCCCTACCTCAACTTCGTATCCTCTCAATACTAAGGCTTTGAGAGAGAGAGTTGTTGATTCTTTTGAAAAAGATGTTGATATGCCATTTCATTCTTGTGCCTCTCTTCTTCTTTTTGTGTCTTCAAAGCATCCTCTTTCGAACCCTTGAACAGCTAGTCTAGCCGCCTGACCCGAGTTGTTGTGGTGCTGAATAGCAATCACATAGAACCTCACGCTAAGGTATCAGTTTTGCAACTCTCCTTCGGCTCCCAGACAAAATGGGGTTGGTGAATTGTTGTCGGCGTCCGCTTTTGCGCTTGAAATTCAGGTGCAGGATGGCGTTAAAAGGAAACGCTCACCTTCTCATGGCGCGAGGATTCCGTCTTTCATTCACAGTTTTCTGCTATTCTGTTGTCTGTTCACTCTTTTCTTCGGATGGATCAAGGTCATATTTTTTCATATCTTGGGAGCTGCTATTGCCAGTGATGGGGGTGGAATTGGGGATATTATTGCAAGGGAAGTGCATCGTGGATGGTATATTGCAAGGAAGGATGATTACTACGATAGCATGAATGTGTCTGATTATTTGCTTTGCGGCTGGGAAGGTGGAACTGGATCTGACACATATATCAAGGGCTGAGAGTACAGACTTTGACCTAGATAATATGACTTCAGTATTCGTGTAGCTACATTGGGACGTGCATGCTTGATGCAATAATACGGTGACAGCCCAGGAACTGGTCTCGAAGAGGTAAGTGGGGGATCAAATCCCGCCATATGGCACGATCTAGCGATCCGAGTCATCGCAGAAGTCGGTATAGCAAAGGGGCGCACAAGCCATAGCCGTTAAAGATATCGGACAAGGGCAAGAAGTCCTGGTAGGTCGTTGGCCGCGAGATTCATGCAAGGACGGTAGCGGTCGCGGGCGGCTGCCGGATTCGCGATGGGGCTAGCAAAGCAACCTTCTTTTGCCCTCGTTGGCAGGACCCTGAAAATGCGGGGAGCTATCAGGAAGCAGATGAGAAAGACGTCAGAGAGCCCGAAAGGAGTAAGAAGCTCCAGGTTTTTTGGACAACGGTTGGCGTGCGGGTTCCCGGGGTGGGCAGATACTCTTTTGGGGATATTATAAACTGGGCTTGCTTTGTTTGTCTTGGTGCTTTAACTTGTTCTGGATTGGGAACGCGGCCGCGAGAGTCAGGGCAGGAGGGACGATAATTTAAGGTGCTGTGCGTCGGGGCGAAGAAGAAAAAGAGGATGAGAGGGCGGAAAGAAGCAGAAGAAAGGAGTATGGATTTGTCATTGCCAGCAGCTGTCTTGTGCCTATCCTCTTGGCGAGGACGGTGGTAGGGGATGTCTGGGTGGGATGAGGTAAGAGATTTCTTCGTGTCCATATTTTTTTACAATTGCTGCAAAGGTGATATTGAAGAGGTGAGAGAACGAGACCTTTTGATGTAGTTGATAGTGAACCCGGGGCTATTCCATGACAATTGAGCAAACAATTGACATCCAGATTAGTTTTGAGTTGGGTGGCAACTGGGATCTCTGAAGGGACTGCTCCGCATGCCTCTGTGCTAACTCTCAGCGCCATTTCTACTTCTAGCAAGCCTAGGCCCCGTCCAATAAGCAGGTAGTTCTAGCAATAGCGCTAAACTATCCAGTGCCGGCTCTCCATGGAAGAACTTGTCATTCTGCTCTCTGTAAACTTATCAAACTAAGCAACTGTAATTGCCTCTGAAGCGCTTTGGTTGAGTTGCGCGTGGAACGGATAAATATGTCTCCACTGCTTGATCTGATTGGCAGGCCAGCCGCTAAGCACCAACCTATGCGGTAAGCGGCAATGCACCACCGTTGGAAGGAACATGAGCAGGTTTGAGAAGGTTTCCCCAAGTACCGGTACATTCGTTTGGGTTCGCCTGCCCGCAATCTAGCTCATCTGGGTGGCGAGAGCCTAATTCTTCTACACGCCAGAGTCAACGTATTAATAAGGTAGTGAATTGATATATGTAATATAGGACGCTCATATAATGCCTATTGTGCTAGAATGATGTGACTTGAATCGTGAGGTCGTGTATACATACACGTCCAGATCTAATGCTCTGGGATAGACGAGTATCGCCCAACTGCTAGACTTCCAATGAAAACACCGGCCAGGACGGACAAGAAATATCCAACATTCATCGTCATTACCGCCAACATGCTGAAAGACGATCAAAAGTGTTAGCAACTGAATCTAGCTAAATGTATTGATAGCGGCTTCCCCAAACCGAGTAGTGAGCTAGACGACGAGGAGTAATGGGAGACTTACAGAAGATATCCAACACCGACGATGACCGTATCCAAGGCCGCACGAACAGGATCAACACTGAACCGCCACGGCCTCGTCTCGCGCGTCTTCTTCTCAACGACAAACACATTCTCTTCTACGCCATTCTCGGAGATGACCACCTGCTTGGCGTCGCTGTCCCGGGTGATTCGCTCAGCTAATGGCTCTTTCCCGTTGACGGCGATATAGCGACGCTCAGCAGCTTGGTTCGCCCACCGGGTCTCCTGCCGCGACTTGAAGGCCACCAGGAGGCGGGCGATTATGGCGAGCACGACGAGGAAGATGCACGCGCCGGCGTAGGCGCCGGCGCTCTTCGGCGTCCACAGGTCCGAGTAGAGGGGCGTGCTGCTGTCCGTCTGGAAGGTCATCATCATGTGGCCACTCGAGGAGGTGGAATTGCTCCCCGAGTCGCTCCCCGTGCTGTGGCCGGAGTGATCCATACTGTGCCAGATGATGTACTGTAGAAAGGGGAGCAACTTTAGTTTTCGAGAGCCCCGGTTCCCCTTGGGAGAGAACGCGAGTTGAAAAATGCCGGGATGAGACAGGTGTAACTAACTAAACCAGGCTTTCGGAGCGATACAATTTCGGCACACACAGCGCAAGGAATGTGTCGGTATTTATGGTGGACGGTTTGGGTGTCTCATCAGCGAGGCGAAGAATGCAATGTGTTGAGGATCCGCGTCGAGGACCTGCAAACGTTTCTAAAGTCGAAGAAGAAGGCGAAATACCCTTCTACTTGTCATCCCGAAATTAAGAGGAACGGGATAACGGTATTTATGGACTATGTTCTTGGGAATCAAAGAGGTTCATGCCTACTTCGGGCTTGGGAGACTGGGGTTTGGTTGTGTTGTACGAGGGAGCGGAGGTACCGGTACTTCGTGCCATTGTTAGTCGCTGGTACACACTGTATCAACACCAAATCTGATGGGAGTCCATTTGAGCGGTTTAATAAGAGCCAGGAAGCAACATCCTTCCCTGTATCAATAGATCTACAACCGTATCGTTTATGTACAAGGGCTTCGTCGTGCCTTGTCTGACTTAACATCACTTCTACTCGACGCAAGCACCTCGTATAACCGATTTATGACATCACTTTCCAAGTCTGGTATACGATATGGTCTTTGCAGGTCGATTACACACATTATTCGCCATTTATGCTGTCTGTCTTCTGTAAACCGCTGATATGCATTCAGAGCACGCTCAAAGCAAAGCTTGCAAGAGCCATGCTCTTTATTTACTATACAATTGAATCATTACCTCTCCTGTCAGGTTCTGGGCTTTCAACTCTCTCAACCTGGCCCTCATTTCGGTAGTCCGAAACTGATGATGGACCCTCGCCAGTCATGGTTGAACTGCTCGACGGTCGTCCGCCGCCCCATTCTTTCCACCATCTGAAAGAGAGCATGCTGCTGAGCGACCCTGAGACCGAGTTGGTTCGTTTCCTCATGTGCCTGCGCGCCACAAGACCGGGGAAGCCTGTACTCTTCCTCCGGCGGCGGCTCGATCTCCTTGGTGTTGACTCGGTGCTCGCACTGGTTTCCCCAGTAAGCTGAATGTTGCTGACACTTCTTCTGTTCTGGGCAAGCAGAGGGCTTGACTCAGCACGGCCAGGGAGAGTCATCGAGCGGAATCGCCCAGTAGGAGTGCTCGGCTCGTCCTGATCTTCCAGTTCGCCCCAAATCTCTGCCCGCTCTGCCCAGCGGAAGCTTCTCTTGCGCGTTGGCGTCAGAGGGGTGGTTTCAATATGCCTGTGGTCAAACGTATGATATGTAGCAGGGGCCTCCTCTTCCACCGCAGACTCGGACCCCAAGAGTGATTCTTCTTCGCCCTCTGTATCATCCACAAGTCCCAAGCCGGGCGCGAGCGACGATTGTCCAACTCCGGGGGTATGCTGCTCCTCGCTGAGCCTCCATGAGAGGGCGAGAACTCCAGATAATAATATAACGGTGCCGAGGGCGATTAAGCAGGCTCTGCGTGTCGAGATGAGCGCTGTCTGGTCAAAGTAGATCAACCCGTCGAGGATGGCGATGATGTTGTATATACAAAAAACAAGAGGATATAAAACTGAGGTTGAGACCAGCTTAAGACCTCGATGCAAGTAGTAAAGCTGACAAAGAGCCAAGGAAATAAGTGCCAAAACAATCATCCAGGCTTGCCAATAGATGAATTGGTTCTTCCCGCCAACTGTTTTGATGACTAGTTCTACAGAGGATTTGGCGAAAAGGAGCGAGTGTGCGGATAAAATACCGCTGATAACTCCGTAAACAATGCCGCGGACCAGCCTGAACTGTGCGTTTGAGGCGATGCTGGAGACGACACTCACAACATCCATAATGACCGCTATCGCCACGACAAACAGGGCTTGCAGAATCATCCAAATAACAAACGGTTTTCGAGCCAAAAGCACAAGCAGCTCATTGAGATCATGAGCTGGAGAGGGAATTGCCCCGAAGATGGCAATTAATATCGCACCAGACGTAACTAACGTAGTGCCGTAAAGAGACCATCGCGTGAATGGTTCGCTGAGAATGATGGAAGCGCATATCGAGTTGAAAACCAAGCCGGCGGCTTGAAGGGTCGAGAGGACTGGAAGAGGGAGAGTAGAAATTTGGACCGAGCTTCCCAAAATATTGGCCACAAGAAACATGGCCATTCCCACCTGCCATCTTCTTCTTCGGTAGGGCGGTCGGCGAATGTCGTGTGGCCCCTTCTCATCCTCCAAAATATGCGACTTTCGTTGAAGGGTCAGCCCAACACTTTGAACGCTGGTCGATAGTATTCCCACGATGATGCCCAACTAAGAATCAAATAATCATGTTAGTGGTAGAGCTTCCAGAGAGGGAGATGTGGTCTCCTTGTGTTGACGTACGGCTATGCCCCCTCCAGGGGAGAGACTACCCAGGGAGACCATTGCGCCGTGTCCAGACCCGTGGTCATCTGGCACCGACGAGGCCTGGACGTCGCATAGGGAACTGTTGGCAAGTATATGTGTCCGCAAAAATGACAGGAAACAGGTGCAAATAAGCTTCGAGATACGGTCTTCAATTGGACATGCGCTATCGAACGAGTTCGTGTTGCTGAGAGGGGCTGGGCAGGGGCGCGCGGTCACCGACAGGAGCTATCGCACAAACGATGAAGTATGTAGAGTCGAGTATAATTGAAGTGAAGAGCGAAGGTAAATTGCGCAAAAGTCGGTATAGCACTTTCTAGCGATCACATGAGGTTTGGAAGCGTGCCCATGCCTGCAGATGGAAGGTCGCTTTCCTCAGCCTGAAGGATGCAAGCCAGGGAAAGCTTAAGATGAATTCATGTGGCGGTGCGATCAGGTGACAGACGTCATGCATTTGTTAAGAGGGAGCGTTGGAGAATGTGGCTTGACCGGCTAGGCATGTGTGGCTGGTGCGTGTTCACTGGGACCTGAGGCTGATGAACCTTATGCGGGAGAGGTAGCTCCATCGTCATCAGCAGCTCGGCGACGGCACTCCACTTAACCACACCTTGTGCATACACGCCGACGTGCTCCTCGATCGGTCTCGCCTCACGTCCAGTCCTTATCCTTCTTTTGTTTTTTCCTATTTCCGCATCTAGGGACATACCTGCACCACCTCCGCCAAGATGTCTCAACACGCATTATCTGACCAGCAGGTACGCCGCGAATTGCCAGCGATCCTTTTGCGCAGCCCCCCCAATGCTTGAGGGCCATCCTGCTGACTGTCCTAACCCAAGGTCAACAATGAGCTCAGCAAGATGACTGCATTCATCAGGCAGGAGGCTATGGAGAAGGCCCGTGAGATTGAGATCAAGGCCAATGAGGAGTTCGAGATCGAGAAGTCCAAGCTCGTCCGCCAGGAGACCGACGCCATCGATACGCAGTACGAGAAGAAGTTCAAGCAGGCAACCATGTCGCAGCAGATCACACGCTCCACCGTCTCGAACCAAACCCGTCTCAAAGTTCTAGGAGCCCGCCAAGAGCTCCTCAACAGCATATTCGACGAGGCCCAGAAGAAGCTTGTTGAAGGTGCCAAGGATAAGACCAAGTACCAGAAGACGCTCCGTGGGCTCATCTTGGAGGGCTTCTACGCACTGCATGAACCAGAGCTCCAGGTTCGCGCGAAAAAGGCAGATTTCGACGTCGTGAAGAAGGCAATCGCCGAAGCCGAGAAGGACTACAAGAAGGAGGTTGGCAAGGATATCAAGGGTACAATTGACGAGTCGCAGCCCCTTGCTGAAGGCCTGTACGTTCTTGCTCCTGATCCTTGTGCTCTTGAATTCGGGACGAATTGATACTGACAAAGAAAACTAGGGCCGGCGGCGTGGTTATTGTAGGTGGCAATGGAAAGATTGATGTTAACAACACTTTTGAGGCTCGACTGGAACTTCTTCAGGACTCTGCCGCCCCCGCTGTGCGGGAGGCGCTGTTTGGAAAGAATCCTAACCGCAAATTCTTCGACTAAATAAGCTGTCCTTGGGTCCTCTATACATGCATGCTCTCGCTTAGCGGAGAACATCGGGCTTTTCCTGTTTACTCAGACCTGCACGTACGCCGTGCCTTTTGCGATTTGTAGCTAGAAGTTGTATCATGAATTCATTACTATACGCCGTTTTGCACAGGGGTTTTCTGTCTTCACCCTGTCGCTTACATCAAAAGACCCATCCTCGACGCTGATATATTGCTAGGCCTTTTTGAGGAAGTTTTGCATGTACGCGCGCTGTTGCGGTATGGAGGGGTCCTCGGCTCTATCTAGGGTCTGGAATATATCCGCCTTTCTCTGGCGCTTCGTGCGAACTGACAAGGAAATGCGTTTTTGAATCCACTCAATCACACTCTTGGCTTCGGCTCGAGAAAGTTTCATGCCCGAGTCGTTGATCTTCCGAGTCAATGCGGCTAGAATGGCTGCAAGTTCGTCGACCTGCTCATTAAAAATCTTCTCGTTTTCTGCATTTTCAAAGGGGGAGAATGACCCGCTGGCGATAGCTATGTCAAGAAAGATGATCTTTGCTCTCAGTTCCTCGAAGTCCGTCTTCCGAGTAACGGTCAAGTCTGGTTCTTTCAAACGAGTGATGCAGCGCTCGACAGTGACGATATCTGTGGGCTCACGGTTCCCAAGGTTGGGATCGTTGAAGAAAAAGGCTGTAGCAAGTCTGCGCCTGAGATTCCGCGCCCTCTCGCTGCTGAGTGGAAGGCATAGAAGAGAGTTTAGACGGAGGGAGTTGATTGTAAAACCAGTGAATAGAAGTTTGGTAGTTTGTAGACACTGCTAATATTAGCAATTGTGTTTCTAGGGTTTGAATAGGTAATGGAGGGAATATCTGCTTACAAACGAGCTCCATGATGAATCTGGTAAGCTATCAAGAAGCACCTCAATCGTTCTTCCATATTCGACCACAAGATCAATGTTGCATATGAGGAACTTGTCTATAGACATCTTGAGAAGCATTTGAATGGCGTGGTGAAGAGACGGTGTCGAAAGAGATCCTGATAGTAGAGATAGAAGTTCCAAGAATGATCGGAGATTGGACCAGTCACGATTTGCGTATGAATCTTCTGCAGACATTGAGGTTTCGAGAACATCTTGTTTGAGGCGTGGAATGTCAATACACCCGAGATTAGAGAATAGTTGATCTAGTCTTTCGATGGTAATCAGGGACTCTATATGAGTCGGGTGGGTGGAGAGTAGCCGACAGTACTCTTCTCGTACTAGGATCGATTTACTACAACAGAAATCATCCAAGATCCATTGGAAGAGCTCCTCTGGAAGGATTTTGCCTTTTAGAGCCAAGGTGATTGGTAGCCCAGATGTTAGAAACTGTTCGCGAGTTTGCTCATCTTCATGGGCTAATAGATGCCAAGGGCCTGATATTATGCCCTGGGGAGGCTTGGGTGCAGCAGGAGGCGTATGAAATGTTTTGAAAAAGAAGAACCGTGGACGCTTTGGACCTGAATCTTCTGCTCTCTGAACAGCTCGAAGGATCTTGTGAGCGTTCTGTCCACCCTGGTCTTTAACCACGTTCATGAAAGCCTGGTCCTTATCCAAGCCATTCTCAGCGGGCTGATCAGGTCGGCTTTCCTCACGGGATTCTTTGGCCTTGATGAAACTATTATTTATCGCTTCGTCCTGCAGCGAGTCCCTGAGTAATGTATTCATGTCAAAAAGGAACTGCGGTCTAGAATCGCTCGAAAGTGACGGGGATGAATGCCCGGTCATTGTCCTCTTCGACCCAGGCGTTTGAAATGACTTTCGTGGTGGGGTTTGCGGTGCGTTCTTCCTGGGATTAAACTTGGCCATGAAGTCCTCGAGCTCATCTTCGTCATCGGACGAGTCCATTTTATCATCTTGGGCCCCATCGCAACCGTCATCATCAGACGCTGCGATCTCAACACTGATGGACGCCTGAACCGGTGGTGAGCTGAGCGGAGACGTGGATGGACTGGCGACCACAGGCTTTGCCGGAGAAGAAGGCATCTGGGGCGCCTGCTGCTGTACCGGCTTGAAGAAACTTGTTATGGAACCATTCTTTTTTGGAGGCGCCATGATGAATTCTGGGTTGGAAGAAATGATGATCGCGTTCACGCGTTTGCTTGAGGTTGGAGCCGGGACGTTAGAGGGTGAGTCCACGGTACGTACCGACGTCACTTTAGTGATTTCAACCACCACCTACGAGCAGCGCAGTGAAGAGTCTGTTTGATTTATTCAACAACAACTCTTACAGGTTGGATGTAATGCTTCTATGGGAAATACTGGTATGGGGATAAAATTTCTAGAGCATTTCTAGCATTCTAAGCCACCAGCTTGAGTGCCTTGTTAATTAGAGAACTAGCGTCTTGAATAATTCTTCTTCCATATTCTTTGTTCCATTTCTAATTCTTGTCGCATATCAAATCCGCGGAGAGCGACTCAACCATCATTCTCCAATCCGTAGTCACTGTCGATATCTCCAATTCAGTAGCCAATGGCCGTTTTTGTCAGGTGCTTTCTCATTTTCTCCCTTACTCGCCATCTTTAAAGTCTCCCTTCCGGGTCGACGTTGGTGCTGTGAGGGCTTTTGTGACTCGTAAAATAACAACGAGGCTGCTTAGTTGTCGCAGAAATGATTACTGATTCTTGCGAATTCGTTCGACGCGTTGGATGACAACGATTGGGTAATGGTTAACATCAGAGGCATCGCGCTGTACACTGACTAATGTATTCTATAAAGTATGACAAACCAAATATCAAAGGGTAGATGACGTGCTGGTCGACGACTTTCCGACTCCTTTCCCACGATCTAAAGCAATAATGCAATCCCTGATTATCCAATCACAAATCAATAAGAACGCCTTCCATGCAAATGTGCAAACCTGTATAACATCCGCGAGAGATCGCAAAATCCACCGCCTTCCCATTCATCACTTGTCATCGCAGGTCAGGTTCCAGATACTTCCTCCATTCCCGCCGCCCACTGGCCTACTGCGAAACCGCATGGGGTCGCTTGCCACCTGAGTAGAGCTGGAACTGAACAAAAATTATACAGTCTTCCACAATGGTGCCAATCGAGCCGATCAGGAACGGCAGAGCATTGAGCAAGTACTTCTTCTCTTGGCTGTACGCGACTAGACTGATTCCGTATGTTAAATTGCCAGTCAAGGAGAGCATGAAAAACAGGATGGCGAGTCCTAGATGAACATCGTTAGTGGGTGAGCCACCTTTGCTGCCAAAAATGAGCAAGAGCCTACCTTCACATGACTTTTCTCGGTAGTTCTTGAGAATTTGTGGAATTCGGGCACTATAGAGGGGTCAATCGATGATCATTTTCGAAGTCCATTCCAGTGTCGTCATGCTCACCATAGGTAAAACACAGCGCTAATGTAGCCGAGAGTGAGACCGGCAATTTCAAGTGGGCTTTGGCCCTCGTCGTCAGGAGAAGGTGTCTTATCGTCTCCGGAGTCCCATGCGCCGGCCTTGTACGAAATGAACCACGCTGCAATGCCCACTACATAGACAGCCACCAAACTGGCTATGTTGGATCCCCACTGGCTGGCGGGTTCACTCTCAGTCTCATCGCGTGAATGTTTCCTTGTAGGTTCGGCATGCGCCTCGTAGCCGGACTCACGACGGAGGAGCGGTGACTCTTCAGAAGCCCTTGCAACCTCGGCGCGGTGAGAGTGTGACGCACGTCGCTTGTTTCGAGTATTGTAGTATACGCACTGTAGGATCAGGACCAAGTCGGCGAAAACGAAATAGCTGGGGAGTATGATCGCAGTCGGGGCAAGGTGTGTAAATATGGCACCTAGAAGGCAATCGTGTTAGATTTGAATGCAACAGTTACAACCGCGATAGGCGCCAAGAGATTTCGCTGAGGGGTCGGCCGCAATGGGAAGAAACACGATCGGGTTGGACAAGTTCGTTATCAAGAGGATGGCGCTCAACATACCGAGCAAGTTGGTTGCATCACCCAATACCCAGACGACAAGGAACATCATGCTGAGACCGTCGGCACTTTGCGCCTTGAAATTGGCGACTAATTGTGGAAGCTAATTGGCAGCTGCGTTAACCACATGGCTCGGTCAGTTTCTATTTGTGCGGTATAGCTTACAATAACGCATATCCAAGCAACCAAGCTGATGCTTCCGAATATCCCAGATATGGCTTCGGAGAGGGGGGGAGGGTGAGTCGTTGCGGACAAGGCCGCGGAGACGAGGAACGAAGCCATGGTCGTGAAAAGCGCCTTGACTCGAGGCTGCGAAGAGTAGGAGCCCGGGAAGAGAGACGACCGAGGCGAGGTTTCGTAGCGGCGAGCGTGTCTTTTGAAAGCGACAACGGCCAATCCTCTGGGACGGTTAATGTCAACAGTTTGTCGGTGTTGGCTCGTGAGGAGAGAGGAAGGAATAGTCGACAAGAGGCTGGCTAAGACCTACATCTTGACTAGGTAGTCACACGGCCACAATCCTTATCAGTGGATGATTGGAAAATCCTTGTTTGCATTGGCTCGAGGTGTGTCATTGGTGGGGGCGGATGACCACCTTGGGTTAGTAGATAAGAAAGAGGCGCCGGTACCGCCTCTGTCATAGGCCGTATGACCTGTGTCACAGGGGGCAACTGCTAGACTGGAGATCCTCCGTTCCTCGGCGCGACTGTATTCATCTCAGGTGCTCCCATTGATACAAGTGTGAATCTGCCCGAGGAACCAAGCATCAAAGTCACAACTTATCGTTGGGTTTTTTTTCTCTAGAACGCATGGTGATGCAACTGCAACCCTCCCGGTTTTGTGGTTCGTCGTACCTCATGGTCCATATCGGCCCCAGAATTATCAACGTTAAATCGGGATGTATTTGCTTAAAGGGGCTTGGCTTGCCAGCAGCCTGCGACCTGCATCAGGAACATACCACTTTGATGGAGAACTAATTATCGCTATATAGACAAAGTTAAGATGCAGAAGGAATCCAGTGGCCGCAAAGTGAGACTTAATTTCCCCTCTCAATGAGATTCTGAAGGCTGCGCGACGTCGTCAAGGGATGCTCTCTACCTCACCAGAAGCGGGGTGTTCAGTGTTTCAACTTACATATGGCATGGTTGATGCTACTTGATTTTGAAACGGCATACATATTGCTTTCCAGTCTCCCATCTCCAATTCTGAGAGCGAGAATCACGTACTCAACATGGTAGTCGAAATCGTGAAAGGGAAGGAAACCCCCTTCGGCGGCGACATGGGCTAAAGATTGCTTGATAAGGTTCTAATATAAGTCGGAGAGTTCAAGTATTACCTAGTTCCAGTGTGACTTGGGGCACCACCAAAGGATAAAAAAATGTAGAACACTAGCTTCTTCCGTCAGCATGAAAGCTTAGCCCATTTTCAACTATCAGCTCGGATTGCTCCTTTCTCTTAGTTTGTGTAACGGTTATGCATGGCGCCCGCGGCCGTCCCTGAACACGCTCACATATTTAGGGTTTGGGTCTGCATTACCTGCAGATACGGACCTGGAAAATACTTTTTGTGGCGTTACGACATTGCGAGCTTATTGGAACCGAATAGCTTCAAGTGAAATTTAAAGAAGAAGAAGAAAATGGGGGACCCTTGAGACTCTCTACGGTTGGCTTCTACTAACAATAAGAGGCTGGCTCGCTCGAGCTGTGGGCACCCTTTGACTAAGACTTAGCTCTGAAGGGGCTATCCAGCCGTGATGAAGTATGAATGATGCGGAATTCCGATGGTGCTTTTATTTCTTCACTGATCAGGAAGGCTGCGACCATCAAAGCGAGGCATGTAGAGAGGTGCAATGACAGGAAACCGGCCCAGGCACCAGATTCGCCCCAGATCTTCGGTCATAGCGGGGACACATGATAAGTCTAGTATGCTTTTGGAGTAGTGGTTTCAGTAGATTCACGTGGGGCAGATCATGCCCTTTTGATTGGTCGTAGTGAGGCGGTTGCTCCCTTGTTACTCCAGGCAACTCCGTGAACCAACTGAATGCCGCACACGCTCTCAACCTGAATCATCATGGTCTGAGGCTGAGCGCGAAGGTCACGAGCTCTTGCTTCTTATATAAGAATACTCCATAAGCTATAGTTATTGTTTATCTCAGTCATTCTATCTTTCCAAGCCCGTTTGCGTGACCTGCTTTGTCTACCTCAACTTCTTCCTGTGTGCAACCTTGCTTACGCCCCGACCCTCGCTTACAACTGATACAACTAGCAACCCAGAGTCTCTGAGATGAAGCTGGCTGGTGCCACGCTGGCCCTTGGCCTCTTATCTGCACCAGGCGTCTCTGCCTGGGGAAGTAAGTGCTTTCCCCCCCTCGGCTTTGCCGTTGAGAGCCGACATTGACACGATGACAACCAGGTCTGGGCCATATCACGACCGCCTACCTCGCGAGCCACTTTGTCTCCAACACCACCGAGGCAGTCTTCAAGGAGCTGCTCAAGAACGACAACACCGATTATCTAGCCTCGGTAGCGAGCTGGGCCGACTCGGTCCGATACACTAAATGGGGACGATTCACCAAGACGTTCCATTTCATTGATGCCCACGACGACCCGCCCAGAAGCTGTAATGTGGACTTTGAGCGTGATTGCAAGGAAACAGGATGTGTGATCAATGCGCTGGCCAATTACACCGAGCAGGTGGTTGACACCGCGCTTCCAGAGTGGCAGCGCGCGCAGGCTGCCAAATTTGTGATCCATTTCGTCGGTGACCTCCACCAGCCTCTCCATAACGAGGACGTTGCTCTGGGAGGGAACCGTATCCACGTGCTGTGGGATGGCCGTGGATACAACTTGCATCATGTCTGGGACAGCTCCATTGCTGAGAAATGGATCGGCGGATTGCACGGCAAGCCTTACGACCTTGCTCTGAAGTGGGCAAATCAGCTCGCGGTTGAAATAACTGATGGCAAGTTCACCCCGGAAAAGGAGGGTTGGTTAAAGGATTTGGACTATAAGGACCCCATCTCCACTGCCATGGCCTGGTCAAGGGAGTGCAATGCCCTCGTGTGCACGCATGGTGAGTTCAAATTGCGATATAGCTAGTGAAGCAAGATGATGGCTGACAAACAACACCAATTTTAGTCTTCCCCGAGGGACCCAAGGCTATTGTTGGCCAGGAGCTGGGCGGTGACTATTTCAAAGCGGCCGGTCCCGTGATTGAGAAACAGGTCGCCCGCGCTGGCTATCGAATGGGCGCATGGCTTGACCGGATTGCCAATGATTATCTTGCTAAGCGACAGGAGTACACTGAGCTGGAACTTTAGATTTAGACCACACTCGGCGATTGCAAGAGATGGTATGATCATGCTGATAGACAAGGGATGGATGTAACCCGGTTTTCTTGTTACGACCTTGATATATTCTTTGGATACTTCGACTATAGGCGAATGTGGCATTCAGAGTCATCATATCCACTCGCGTATGTAGTAAGAGTCCCATTCCAACGGACTGGATGCTACTGTAACCTCGGTGATATGGATATCGCCCCAACATTAATAGCGAGGATGGTTGCATATTCTACACGAATCGTGGAGACCGCCGGGAATGTCACATTTATGGCAACACCGTGCTTATGGCTGTACCAAAGTACCAAATACTATTGATGCTTGCTCCGAGAACTGTCTTTGAATGTAAGAAGCTGTTCGGGAATGCTCCGTCCGAGTGAAATTAGGGATTGTCTAGTTGTGATTATTGCATCACCAACTGATCTCCTTTCGTAAAATGTCTTGCTCATCCGATAGTAGATCAATGCGCTCCATGTACTACTTCAAGAAAGGCTCGCTGGCGGAGTGCTGGTGAAGTATCGAAAGATCAAGCCTCTCCAAAGAGAACACTTTGACATTGTCAACATGAGTGAGGAAATGCTATAGGATATCATGTCTTGGAACGATCTCTGTGAAGATGGCACGAATGAGGGGTGATATGGGTTGGCGTTAGTGTGCGCCGAGAATTGGTTGGCTTGGAATCAAATTATAGATCGATTATTCTAAGCAAGAAAGAACATCGGTTTTCTGTATCAGGCTTGGTTTAATTAATCGAGGCACCTTGCTAGTGATAAGCATGGACATGGCCAAACATGTTCTCATGACTGGGCCTGGTGCATTTTCCCGAGGACAGGGCCGGAGGGAGGCGGATGGGAACCCATCTCTTCTCTGACTTTCATTACTCTTTCCTGTTCTGATTTACTTTCAATTTACTAGTATGTAATTCAACTATATACCGGGGGTGAATACAATGATACTTCCCATTGCGTGGTCTCCTTGGCCGAAGCCCGAAAGGCTGGGATATCCCATGAAATGGCCTTAATCCTAGCTACCCATATGTGATCCATTTCAGAGAGCCCTTGAGCAAGCTTCTTTGGGTTGCGCTGGTCCGATTTTCTCTCAGCTGCAGCGTTTGCGCTGGCACCCCCGGTTGTCAGCACATCTTCACTGTTTCATTGAGCTCCAATAGGCTCCTTGGCGAAGGGACTTGGGCGTACGTATATGCACACGGGCACATCGTCGGACTCCCGGTATGCATTCCGCTATGGGGAGACGAGGGTCCGAAGAAATCGTGGATCCTTGTTAAGGTTGCATTTCGAAACGTCAAACCTCTTGGCTGGCGCTTAAGCTTAAATGTACCCCTTTCATTGGTTGCCGGCCGGCACATCAGGGACCAGAGCTCAAAGCCCGGGACTTTGCTCAACCATGCACGGCGGTCCAGCTGTGAATTTTTGTCCTGTCACATCTTGTCAATCGGGCATCTCGGTGTTCCAAGACAGTCCGCGGCCTTTAGCCACCCATGTTCCGGCTTGCTTCCAGGAGAAAATATGCAAGGAGTTATGCGAGGCATCGTGGCCCCGTCACAGTGCACCCACCCGGAAAGCGCGAAGCCCGTCGAGACAGCGGCAGTATGGCCATCTGTATGTGTGTTAGAGGAGCCGCTCGTGGCTTACCCTCCGGTCTTCTTTCTGCGGCCAGGCTGCTGCATCATCGCCATCGCAGAGCCAACCAACAATCCCATCTACGACCAGAGATTCGGATCTGTTTGATCGGCAACGCATCAAGGCGCCCGAGTTTCCTCCTTTGAATACATTGGATAAATGAGCGCTTTCCTGTAGCATCAGTGCCCCACCGCCTCCTTGTCATTCCATGAAGCCTTGTATGTGTGAATGAAACCCACCTGCATATCCTGGGATCAAGGCTCCGTCTTTTCCCATGCGTCGTGTGTGTATGTTTATTCCCACCTACCCGAGAAAGAGAAGTGCTATTTTTGGGACACTGGAGTAAGGTATATCTTCCCGAGTTTCTCCTGTTGCAAACGTGTGAGTCTCTCAAGCTGGGCTTCTTCACGGTGTTCTCATCCCTTTCTCCCTACAAGACTGTGGTTCACTCGGAAAGAGCCAGGAATCGAGGAAGTCTCGTCTTCTGGTTTGCCTTGATTGCTGCCCTCGTGCTTGTGTTTGTTTCTATTTCCAAATATATTGTACAAAGCCACTTTAATCATTTCAGGGCCTCAACTAGCTTCTATCCAACATGCAGATCACGTCACTTCTTACGGTGCTTGCCACATGGGCCGTTGTCTCTGACGCGGCATCTATCAGTGGAAACATGCCATTCAGCCGTGCCTTGCGCCGTCGTGCTGAAGCAAGTGCCGGCTCTGAAGAGAGCCTGGTTTTTGAGAGGAGATTTCAAAAGGGCGGCGATGACAGCAAGCAAAACAACTCAGGCCCCAGATTGAATCCCGACCTTGTGCAAGAGAACTCTTCCGAGGACGGGTCACCGCTTGAGGATGGACAGTCCCCCTCAGAGACGTAAGCTTTTAGGTCCAACCTCTGTATACGTTGGCTTTGTTCTAATGAATTCTAGCGACAATGCCAACTTCATCAACTTCTGCAAGGGCAAGACGCTCACCAACGGCCAGCAACATCAGGACGGGAGCTGCAATGGTATCCGTAAGTTGAAGATATCCACTGTTGTCAGGGGGGGATTTTACATTAACTATTTGCAGCAATGGGGGAAATCCCCAGCACGAGCAACATGGTTTCTGCCGTCTTTACTTCGCCCCAGAATGGCGACAAGCTGGCCGCCGAGGAGACATTCAAAATCCAGATCCAGATGTCCAACTTCGCTCCGGGAACGTTCACCAACCCGAAGGTTACTTACTACTCGGCTCCTCAACACCTCAACAAGAAGGGCCATATCATCGGACACACTCATGTGACTGTCCAATCCACCGGATCAAGCTTGAACCCAACAACACCCCTCGATCCTCAGACATTTGTGTTCTTCAAAGGAATCAATGATGAGGGAAACGGAAAGGGCCTATTAACGGCCACTGTTGAGGGTGGCCTCCCAGTTGGAAACTATAGACTCTGCTCTATGGTGTCTTCTGCCAACCATCAGCCTGTCTTGATGCCTGTTGCGCAAAGAGGTGCTCAGGACGACTGTATTCGTTTCAGTGTTGCTGAGAAACGGCGATAATTAGGCCATCCTTTTTTTCTTTCGGTTTTTAGCATTAGCTTTTAAGTAGCAAATACTTTTATCTCTCTATTGCTATTTAGCCTAACCATCACGGTGAATTTCTGAACTATCTTAGTACCTCGAATGGATCCAAGAGGAAAGATACGAGTGGGAAACGGTTCTATCAGGCAACTCGTTCAGAACTTAACTAATACCATTTGGTCTAGCCCTTGGAATTGAAAAGCCTTGCATTCCAACTTCTATAGAATTATTATGAAGTCAAGGAATACAAATGTTAGCCCTAACTGGAGCTACTTTAGCTCTAACTTCGCTAGAACTGGAGCCTTCCGACTGTCAGCAACATAGCAGCAAAGCCCTTTGTCTCTTGATGGCGTCTACCTTTGTAATTACCCGACCGAGACATTTGATCTTGATGGTTTTACACCTAGCCCAGGAACCTCGGAAGACGCTGCTCCATTCCCGTATTCACAGGGGCTGATCGTGGCCATCTTGGGCAACCGATGGCGATCAGTGGCCACTTCCCCAGTAAAAAGAACACACGCACCCGAGTCATTGGAGATCGCATCGGTATCGATGCTTGCCGGTAGTGGAATGGTGATGTAATCGGATCGACTCGGCCGGCTTCTCCGATGCCCCTTTCCCGTCGTCTATTAAACTTTTCTAGTTTCCCAACTATTGTTTCAATTACGACGTCCATGTGGACTGTACCCTTTGAAACAACGCGCGGCAGGGCTTTCTAGTTTTTTAAGCCTCTTGAGATTTCCACAACTGTTAAAACGTCTTGGTTAGTCCTTAAGATTCGAGATATATATATAAAATCCCGTACATTGGACCTGCCTGTCAACCACCTGTCCTCAAGAAAAAACTAGAAGAAAACGTTCTCACCGTTCAGACTATACAATGTATTTCTCGGCATCTTGCTCTGCCATTGCGGCTCTCGTCCTTCCACTCATCTCCCAGGTTTCCGCTGCTGGACAGTTGGGATTTGCCCTTGGCGTCAAACATGCCGACGGAAGCTGCAAGTACCAAGCAGACTACGAAGCGGACTTTGACGCAATAGGCACTGCCGGTAGTTCAATCGTAAGAATCTACTCGGCTGCTGATTGTGATGTGGCGCGGCAGATCCTGCCGGCAGCCAAGAACAAAGGCTTCAGAGTCGTACTTGGAATCTGGTGCGTCCACATCCTCAATTCTCCCAATCCGGCCTTGCTTCCGAACGAGAACTGACATGACATCCACGTAGGCCTGATACAGACGATTCGTACAATGCTGGAAAAGCAGCGATTCTGGAGTCCGCTGTCGCCTACCCAGACCAGGTTTATGCCATCACTGTTGGCTCGGAAGCACTGTACCGTGGAACCTTCACTGCGGACCAACTCATTAGCAAGATTGCCGATATGAGACAGGCTGCACCGCAGTTCCGTTACGGAACCGCCGATTCCTGGAACATGTACATTCAAGACAATGGATTGAGCCTGGTCCCGGTCGCTGACATTCTCCTTGTCAACGCATTCGCCTATTGGCAGGGTGCTGCCATTTCCAACGCCGTCAATGTCTTCAATGACGACATCAACCAGGCTTTTGACCGCATCAAGTCTGTAGCTGGCGACAAGCAAATCGAACTCTGGGTCGGAGAGACTGGTTGGCCGACGGAGGGAACTACCTACCAGGCTGCGGTGCCTTCGCTGGAAAGCGCCGAATTCTTCTATCACAACGGCGTTTGCAGCAGGCTGAACGACGGAACAAATGTTTTTTACTTCGAGGCATTCGATGAGCCCTGGAAGCCCGATTCCATTGGTGATGACGGCAGTGCAGCGGATGAGAAGCATTGGGGAGCAATGACTTCAGACCGCGTTGCAAAGTTCTCCCTGCAATGTTAGATTCGGTAGAGGTGGGCCTTTTTCTTTTTGAATAGATAGCAATCAAGATTTTTAGCCCCCAGTATATGTCAGGAAGACTATCGCAATTAGTCCAGGAACCTCTGATATGTTGTGAACGCCGAATCGTATTAAATTCTTTAATAGGCTCTCGCTTGGAGGAGCCCGGTAATTAATGTACATATTATCCAATCCAACGTTTGTATGTGAGCCTGGGGTCGTTTGTAGTATTTAACTTCGATTGGGTTGTTCGACTGTTAATGGGTATTTGCGAGAGACTTTGACGGGTGGCTTAAGCAGCAGCAGGCTTGGCACCGACGCCGCCAGCGCCGGGAGGAAGGAACAGGGGCATATAGCATGTGCCGAGGGCCAGAACTGGTAGCGAATATATTAGCTGATGCGAAGTCTGTGTGCGCTTGCTGGAAGGTGCAACATACGAGACATGCCAACGGAGAGATAACCGGGCATGGGGGAGTTCTGCTTCTGCGCCTCGCTCTCACCGAGCCAGTTCTGAATGGAGACAACTAGCGAGGCCCTAAACTCCGTGTTAGAAAGTTCATTGCTCCTATTTTTTGGGTTGTTTCCCTGGGGGTCTGCAGGCCTCATTCTCCCGCTTGATGTTGACAAGGAGGGCACGTGGACAGGAGGAGGCAATTTGAGGTTGGGAAAGCAGGCGTAACGGTGTGAGTTTCGTACCATCCGATGATCTTGTGGCGCATGAACATAGCGGCCATGGGAAGCGTCGAAGAGAGAGAAGAGGAGACATCGGCTTGATCAGCTGAATTCTTAGGTGCCTGGTACGGAATGACTGTTGTGGCGAGAAAGGGTTAGTTCGATGACTGCTCATTGGGCCCTCTTCAAAGGAATACAATGGTCTGGATTTGCACATACTCAGGTCCGGGCGGCGCATGTCCTTGTTGGAAACCATGTTGGCTGTAGTTGATGAGCGGAGTGTCTTGGCTGGGGATTGATGGCGAGTCGTGGTGGAAGATGAAGCTGTCCCCAATTGCGCGCCGGTGTTTGGACAGGGAAGGAAGTTGGCTGTCGCAATTGTGGGGCAAAGGCAAGACAGAGCCGCTAGACCTTATACGGCATTTCTCCAGAACCCCCGCATGAAGCTCCGATGTAAGTCATCCAAAAGGGTGCAAACCAAGTGTCAGCCATTGATATAACAAGTTCTATCTGCAGCTATCGCGTTATTCGCATTTGTGTAATTGGAAGGGGAAGGCTATCTTTCCAGTGACTACTCCCATGCTATTTTGCAGCTTTTTATGATGGAATTCATCGAGCTGCTTTATCATCTCGGGCGTTCCGATTTGGAGTCGTTCGAGAATCTCAACCACAGCCGCATATAGGATGTCAAGGTTGCCGTCTCCTATCTTTACCGCGATTCCCACAGTTCCCTTTGCTCCCAGGCGCGTGGTACTTGCGGATGACCTGATGCCGATTCCGTAGCACCCATCTGCACCGACCTTGCCAAAGGCCTGGCCCCCAAATAACTTCATGAAGGAGGTGCAAAACCGTCCCTCTCCTGCCACTTGGTCCGCATGCTTTGTCATAGCATTGAATATACGCGCACACAATTCGATTCTGGTTGATTCCGGGTTTCCTGTAGCGGCCTCGCCGGCGGCAGTTGCGAAGGACGCATAGATCACGGCAAGATCTTTGAGCGGCAATGCAGGAGCAGGCATATTGCAGCCATCAATTCCCCACTGGATGCTTTCACTGCCCAAGCCGGAAAGCTCCTCTACAACCGCCTTGACTCGTTGCTGGATGGGATGGCTCATCTCGTGGTAGTCAACTACCGAGGCGCCGATTACCTTTGCACCTGCGATCATCCCGATGTGCTTGCCAGAGCAGTTGTTGCAAATGCGTGTGGGACTGAAGCCGGCTCTGATCCAATCCTGATTGACCGAAGGAGAAATAGAAGGGTGGCCTCCGCAGCGTAGATCTGTTTCTTCTGCAGGAATCTTGGCAAGCATGGCGAGGGCTCGTTCGAGATGCTTCGGCTCGCTGTTATGCGAAGCGCACATCAGAGCCAAATCTGCTGCCTCAAAACCATATTTTTCAAGTGCGCCAGTTTCAGCAATGGCTAGAGCTTGGGCCGGTTTGGCAGCTGATCGGATGAGAGTCACCCGTGAGGGATTGCCGACGTAGAATAAAAGCTTGCCGGTCTCATCAACTACTGCGGCATGGACGAGGTGGGAGTTCTCAAGAACACCACCCCGGTCAGTGATGACACAGTCCTCATATGATTTGACCATTGTTGCTTTAGATGCAATTTTAATATGACTCGAAAGTAATTAAGTCAAGATTATATATATATGGCGATGAGAAAGCGAAGCATTGTGATTCTGCGCCCTTGCTCAGCAGCTATTGCGCTTGCGCCCTTATTTGACCATGATTTTGAAGGAGCTCGGCTTCAACCCATTTTAGTCAATTGAATACACCTGCCTCTAATGAAAAAGTAAATTGATACGGAGTTTCGAGCTGGGACCTGTTTGCAACAGCCGATCATTTTGTCATATCCTACCTTAATCATTATGAGTCAGACCGTGGGATGATCTGTAGACGTCAAGGAACATGAAAAAGATTAGGCTTTTCCTCGAAATCGGTCTGGAATATGGTTCATGCTTCAGACATTAGAGTTTCCTAGTATTAGGCAATATGACTCAAATTGAGAGATCATACTACCCATAATATAGAAGTGTTCTTACGGGAAAGATAAGGCATATATGTATGGTGGTGCAAACACGTGAAGGCAGCATCACATACTTCGAGTAGCCAGCGCAGGGTTGAACTCAGTGCAAGGGTGCTCCCCTCAGTAGACGCAGAGCGCGAAGAGGGGCAGAATTAGTGCCACCAAGCTAAGTTCAGGTAGCGCGATGGCCTGCCTTGAGCATCAGAATGGTGGGGCACGACCATCATGAGTCTTACCCGCTCAACCTCTTTTTTTTCTTCCCTCCCAAATTCCGACAGAGTTGCGCCCAGAAGCAGCGCAGTCCTGCAAATCAATTCTTCCCGCTTCCACTCATCCGATACGAGATATATGATACCCGACGCACTCCGGACGCACCACTCGCAGTAATTGTTCATATCCTTCGACTAGCTAGCCACGGTTCAAATACCACCAACCACTGCCCTCGCCTCGCTTGTCATATCGCGACAAATCGAACTTGAACCATAGGACGCTTCTTTAGCTGACCATAGATCGGTATGAACGACTTCAGCTAGCACGAACGAGCATTTCCCGTGGTTCCGCTTTGAAGAATCAGCTCGACTGTCCCTCTACACCTATATCTACGGTTATCAATCAACATGGTTAAGGCCCAGGTTGTTGACAAGCCGCCGAAGCGGTTTCGGGGCATCAAATTCGGCATACAGTAAGCCTTTCGCTTGGGTGTGTGAGAAAACCATGGACCAAATAATCTAACTAAAACCAGGTCGAACCAAGATATTGCCAATCAGGCTGTGTTGGAGGTTTCCGATCGCTTACTTTATGACATTGAGAATAATCGCTCTGCGTATCGGCATGGTCCTTTAGACTCCCGACTTGTAAGACTCACTATCTTCTTGCATGTTTGACTGAGAAGCTTATAGAATTTACAGGGTACCTCGAGCAAAACGGGAAAATGCGCAACCTGCCTAGAGTCACTCAAAAACTGTACCGGCCACTTCGGCCATGTACGCCTTCCCCTCCCGGCGTTTCATGTCGGCTACCTTCGATTCATCATGTCTATTCTCCAGGAGATCTGCAAGGTAAGAAAATCCTGGATGTGGAAATCGTGATGAGTCCGCTAACAGAGCAATTAGGATTGCGGACGAGTCCTCCTCGAAGAACCCGATCGTCGCTCATATCTCAAAGAACTGAGGCGCCCCTTTCTCGATAACCTTCGGCGAACACAGATATGCAAGAGGATCAATGAGCAATGCCGCAAAGTTAGGACCTGCCCGTACTGCGGCTGCCTCAATGGCCAGATCCGTAAACTCGGTGTTCTAAAGCTTGTCCATGACAAGTTTGTCTTCTTCAACAAATCCACATCGGCCAAGAAGGTGGCCCCTGCGAGCAAAGTCAAGTTTGATAACTCTTTCAATTCCGCCAAAGCCGACAATCCAGAAATCGGACGATACCTTCCAAAGGCGATGGAGGATCTGAACCCACTGAGAGTCCTCAATCTCTTCAAGATGATTAGTCCCACTGACTGCGAACTTCTTGGGATCAACCCCGCCGAAGGTCGCCCGGAAATGTTCATCTGGCAGTTCTTGCCCGCCCCTCCTGTGTGTATCCGACCCTCGGTGGTTCAGGACAATGCGAGTAATGAGGATGATATCACCACTAAGCTGGCCGATATTGTTTGGGTCAGCGGCATGATTCGTTCTGCACTGCAGAAGGGCTCTCCTATTCAAACGATCATGGAGCAATGGGAGTATCTGCAGACCCAAATCGCTCTGTACGTGAACAGCGACGTCCCAGGTCTCCAGCAACCTGGTTTTGGAAAAACGACCCGAGGTTTCTGCCAGCGACTGAAGGGAAAGCAAGGACGCTTTCGTGGAAATCTGTCCGGAAAACGTGTGGACTTCTCTGGACGAACTGTCATTTCTCCCGACCCCAACCTCAGCATTGATCAAGTGGCCGTTCCCATTCTCGTGGCAAAGAACTTGACGTATCCCGAGAAGGTCCAACGACACAATATTGAGAAGCTTCGCCAGTGCGTTAAGAATGGCCCCTCTGTGTGGCCAGGCGCCTCGAGCATCATTCGTGGCGAGGGTGGGTTCAAAGAAAACCTAAAGTTTGGTGACCGGGAAGAACACGCCCAGAATCTGCGCTATGGTGATACCGTCAATCGGCATCTTGAAGATAACGATGTCGTTCTTTTCAACCGTCAGCCATCATTGCACAAGCTCAGTATCATGGCGCATTTGGTCAAGGTTCGGCCTTGGAGAACGTTTCGTCTCAACGAGTGTGTGTGTGGCCCCTACAATGCAGATTTTGATGGAGATGAAATGAATCTTCACGTTCCTCAGACAGAGGAAGCTCGTGCCGAAGCTTTGAGCTTGATGGGCATCAAGTACAACCTCGCTACACCCAAAAACGGAGAACCGGTGATTGCGGCAACCCAGGATTTCATCACCGCAGCCTTCCTGCTTAGCCAAAAGGATCGCTTTTTCAACCGAAAGGTCTTCACCTACCTGTGTATGCATATGGTGGATGGCGATACTCACATCGACCTGCCTCCACCAGCAATCATTGCACCTGAGGCTCTTTGGACAGGAAAGCAGTTGTTCAGTGTACTGATTCGTCCCAACAAGAAATCTCCTGTTCTTGTCAATCTAGAGGCAGGTTGCAAGAATTTCAAGCCCAAGGCCGGCGAGACTTCTGATATGAACCCTGAAGACAGATATCTTGTTATCCGCAATTCTGAAGTCCTATGCGGCCGAATGGATAAGAACACAGTCGGCTCGGGAAAGAAGGATTCCATTTTCTACGTGATTTTGCGTGACTTTGGCCCCGACTACGCGATTGCTGCTATGACACGTTTAGCTAAGCTCTCAGCTCGTGCGCTCACGAACTGTGGCTTTTCTATCGGTGTCGGTGATGTGTTCCCGACAGAGAGCCTCACCCTGGAAAAGGAAAAGATGGTCTCCACCGCTTATAGCATTTGTGATGACCTGATCGAAAAGTTCAAGGCCGGAAAACTTGAAAAGGCACCTGGATGTAATATTGAGCAGACTTTGGAAAACTCCATCTCAGGTGCTCTAAACAAGGTTCGACAGCAAGCCGGTTCTTACTGTGTGCAGAATCTAAGCCGAAACAATGCACCCTTGATCATGGCGAATTGTGGCTCCAAGGGTTCCGAAATCAACGTTGCCCAAATGATTGCACTCGTCGGGCAGCAAATCATTGGTGGGCAGCGTGTGCCGGAAGGTTTCCAAGACCGCAGTCTTCCTCATTTCCACAAGAACGCCCGTCAGCCTCAGTCAAAGGGTTTCGTGAAGAACAGTTTCTATACTGGCCTTCATCCAACCGAATTTATTTTCCACGCCATGTCTGGTCGTGAAGGTCTTGTTGATACTGCCGTCAAAACTGCCGAGACAGGTTACATGTCGCGAAGGTTGATGAAGTCTTTGGAAGATCTCTCTACTCGATACGATGACACCGTTCGGACATCTGGTGGTGGCATCGTCCAGTTCCAATTCGGCGCAGACAAGCTTGATCCTGTGGACATGGAGCGTTCCGCTGACCCCGTGCACTTCCAGCGTACATGGTCTCACGCTGAAGCTCTCACGTGGGATAACAGCGAGCCCTCGATGACTCCAGATGAAATCAGAGCGTTCCGTGACTCTATGCTGGCGAACGAGCGCAAGCGACTGGTTAGACGTGGCTTGCTCCATAACGAAATTCTGGACTACGATGATGTCAGTGACTACGGTATCGACGAGCACGAAGGTGCCAGGAAGTTCCTCAAGACAATCCATGCCGAAATCGAAGGGATGGCGAGCAAGCTGGAACGCGTTCGAAAATTGGCTGGTTTCGAGGGTGATGTTATGGTGAAGCCTACTGCGGCAGACCACGCAGATCGCACAGCTAAAGTATCAGCCTCTGCTCTGCGAATGTTCATTAAGCTTTGCCTGGAGAAGTACAAGAAGGCTCATGTCGAGCCAGGCCATGCAGTAGGAGCCGTCGGAGCTCACTCCATCGGTGAGCCCGGTACTCAGATGACCTTGAAGACTTTCCATTTTGCTGGTGTTGCTGGTATGAGTATCACGGCCGGTGTGCCCCGTATCAAGGAAATCATCAACGCTTCGAAGCTCATCAGCACCCCCATTATCTCATGTCCCTTGTTGAATAACAAACAAATCGAGGCGGCACGAGTGGTGAAGGGAAGGATTGAAAAGACGTACATATCCGATGTATTGCAGTTTGTCGAGGATGAGTGGCGCGTCGACGAGAGCAACATTATCCTCCAGATCGATGCGCAGGCTCTGTCGGAGATGCACCTAGGCATTACTGTTAACGACATTGCCGAAGCCATCTGCAAACAGCGAAAACTCAAAGTCCAACGCGCCGACTTGTCAATTGACGGCTACCGAGTTATCGTGAGGGTCAGAGATGTGTCCGATACGAAAAAGACGACCAGAGTTAAACCTGATGGTCTGGAGGGTAGCGATATCCTGTTGCGAGCAAACCTCCTTCGCCGCGCCCTGCCAACTGTACCCATCTCTGGATACGCCGAGGCAACCCGTGCTATTATTGAAACATCCG